TGGTGGTCCTGGCACTTGCAAGGACTCCTGCAGTGATGACTCTGCTCCTACATGGGGAGCACCACAAGCTCTCAGTCCCTTCAGAAGCTGTGAGTCTTTTCTCTATGGCCAAGGAGTACAGGGTAAACTTAGGGTTTTAACAACTAAATCAGATGAAAGAAATTGGGTGAAACAGGAGAGAAGTGAGAAGGAAAGCAAGCATAGTCCAGAATTGAACTTGTACAGTTCAGTAACTCATTTCTGGGACGTATTTAGAGTTTCCACTTGGGCTTCAGTTTAGAAGCTAAGAGGGATTGTCTGATGGTGATACACTTTCATTTCTGAGAAAGAATGTAGAGCAAAATCTATATATTATTTCCCTAAAGAATGTTTGAATATATATGAAGAATTTATCCAAGGTAAATAAATTAATCTATAGATTATCAAATTAGTATAAACATTCTTAAGTGTCTTTTGTTAAAAAAAAAAAAAGTTCTTGCATTAGCTTATTTACTTTGTTTTTAGTTTATTCAGTATTCAGAAGCATGAACTTTCAAATTATGTTGCAACATAGACTTTCAGGAGATGGTTATCAGTATTTGTTAAGTGTTAGGATGTGTTGTATGTGATTGCTTTCTAGTCACTGCCCCTTTAATCTTTAGAAACCACATTGCCTTGTTATTTTTTGTATGCCAGAAGTGAAACAGGAGAGTACATTGAAAAATCATTCCTTATAATGCTGTAGTAGTATAAGATGAAGAGTGAGTTTTCTCCAGCAAGACAGCTGCAGTTATACATCAGAAATGGAGAGTAATCATGTGTCTGGAATTTCTTTTTGAAACAAACATCTTGCAACAGATGTCGGTGGGCCGGGTTTAGTGTGGAAAGGCTCACGTAAGCAAAGTGCGTGGCGATGCCCGTGGATGCCGTCAGTACAGCGCGCAGGATGGCAGTTCTGCACCGCACACCGCCAGGGAGGAGCGTGCGGGGACGCAGGGCCCAGCGGCCGCTCGGCTGCGGTGCCATCTGCCGATGCAGCCATGCAGAGCAGGGACCAGCTCTTGGAGCTGGCTCTCGGCTTTTTAGCTATCTGAGGAATCAGAAGTTCTGGTTAGAAAAGGTGCCGGTAACTTCAGCTGTGGGGAAGGATCTGCTTGACCTCATGTCTTCATAAGGAGATACCAAAGCTGCTACATTCTTGCCTCATTTTGAAAATCATATTTAGGCTCTGGTAGTATTTGGATGGTTTGGGCAAACATGCTGCGTTTGTTCCTCTTCCTTGCAATGTGCTAGCCTAGAGTAGGGCTTTTGCTGTTTAACCTCAGTCCAAATGACCAACTTGCTGGTTTGTCCTTGTTGTTTAATTGCAAAGGAAACAAAACAGTCTTGAGTAATTTGCATTTCAGATAACAGTCATCAGTCAGGCCAGTGACAGATCAGAGATGAATTCATAGACAAAAATCTGCTGTTGTGCTCTGAAAAAGATGAGCATCTCTCTGACAATGTCGACTGATTTGTTCTCACCAGGCATGCTTCTGTTACCCAAGCCTGGTGCAGGAGTAGGTATTGATACTTCTCTTTTGTATAACTATCTGTTTTAACTGTGGTAAACATCTCAGACCTGACCCAGAGGTTTCAGGACACGATGTCCAGGAATCAGCTTCTCTGAGACAAGTTTCCGATACATTTTTCTCCAATCCTATGTTGCCCTACCACATTTCCACATTGTTTTTCCTAGCCTCGGCTGTTTTTCAGTGCCTTTTGTCCCTTTGGGCCATTTGTGCTGATCTTCTCCCTGTTCAAATCCTCCAGGCTATCGTGTAGAAGTAGTTTGTCTGAAGGATGTGTCTGCCTTCGAGTGTAAATCCACATGCACCAACTTTAAATTTGCTGCCAGTCGCTAGCACTGCAGAAGCACAGGTCTGAGGGCAGCATTTGCTGAGCTTTTTCAGTGAGTTTTGCCACCCGTGTTGCATTCTGCACTGCCATAGCTAAGCTGTTAGCTGGCCCCAAGTTAGTTGAAAGCTAACTGCAGAAACTGCTGTTACTGTGATGCAACCTTTGCTGTGGTTTTTATGAAATGATGAGTAGGCAGGTGAGAAGCTATAATTTAAACAAAACACCAGAAAAGTTGTCAAGCCTACAGATTTTACATAAGTAAGCAAAATGTGTTGCTTTCATAATCTAAGCCCAGGTTACCATTCAACAGAGTAGTTGAAGGTTTTTTTCTGATTTTTTATTTGCCTTCTTATTAATCAATTCTTAAAGAAATAAGGGATTAAATTGTAGAATATTCTGTCTTCTGGGTTCTCTAGCATCTGTTGTCCCTCTGTCTTTGCCTTATACAGGGCAAAAGAAGGAAGCCTAGAGGAATATTCTCGGTACTGTGAGTACTGTGACAGCTATAGCAACTTGTCGCTTTCAGTATGTAACAGCTTTAACACAACGTTTTCAGAGTAAATTCATGGCAAGCATGAATTGGACCTAATTGATTGTGAGGATGGAAAGTTATGTAGTCCTTCTTTATGACTAAGCGAAGTGAGCTGCAGCAAAGTTAAAGCTTGCCATAGTTCAGATGGCAGCTTTGTGGCAGAATTGTTTATATTGTCCATATATCCTGTTTTTCACCAAATTATACAGCAGGATGAAATTGAAGTTTAAAGAGCAAACTCCTTTACCAAAGCAATGTGTCTAACTGTCTGTATTGTGATTAATCATGGACCTTTCTATAGTAAAGTCAAGGAGTAGATAATCAGATTATTTCAGTCAGGTAAAGATCTAGTTTGAGGTTTCATACGGCCTTTATTTACAGTTGGTGTTTGTAAAAGTGGATGTAATTAATTTGAAAGATTCCTCCTTTAGATTCAGTGCCCTGTTCCTTGGCTAGTTCCAAGGGGCTTCTCATCTAGGAAGCCAATGTATAGGTTAACTGACGAATTTCTGCCAAAGGGACAATGACTACTGACTCTGCACGAATTTCTGCCAAAGGGACAATGACTTTGCTGCAGGAGATATTACAGTGAAATGTAATATTCACTAATGTCATGAAAATTGATTTCAGCCTTTATAATATTAAAAAAAAAATGTGTTCAACTATAATTGTGTAAGTATTTTGTGTTGTAATTTGCACATATTATTATCACACCCTGAACACTTTTGTGCTATATAAGTAAATATGCAATACCACTTGTAATAAACTTACGCAGTATTGCAAGCTGTTTTTAATAGTTCATGTCACTGGCCAAGACCCCAGTGCATCACATTAGGGCCTTTGTTTTTGTATTGACAGAGTATTGACTAAGTTGATCATCGGAATTATGTAAAATGGTTGATTTTAGGATAATAATTCTAGCTTTTTCTCCGGCGTTCAGAAGCCGGACTCATCCCTGGTGGTTGGTCTTGTTTTCTTTTTACTGAAACTGTTTTATGAAATTACACCACTGAGACAAGATTTCTGAAAGATTTGCAGTTAATTAATTCTTCTGGATGGTGTGCTGGTCCCCCCTAGGAGCATTTCATCTGGGATGCAGCCAGAGAAGTGGTGTGAGTGTTGCTTTCAGGCCAGTGGGACTCCCAGCAGTGTTTATACTGTCCTATGAAATGAAGGAACATGAAAATATCTTCAAGTCACGTTATCATTTCCCTCATCTGCAAAAGTACAAAGCAGAGCTCTGATTCAGGCAAAGACTGGCCCTTTTGAGATTAACTGTTTTAGCTAATTATTTGTAATTTGAACATCAGTTAAAACATGAAAAGATCTGAGAGTGCCAATTTGGCCTTTGTAAAGAAGCTGAGCTGCTTGAAAGCATGCATCTTAATGAAACCCTGGTGTATACAGGCAGTCTCTTACCAGTTCCTTGGTAGGCAGCTATGGGAGAAAACTCGACTGCCGTTTGAAAAAGTGATTTGTTTTGCTGTTCAAGTTAAGTGCTTGTTAATTAATTAATTATGTACTTGTTTTATATATATATATATATATGTATATGTTGCAGCAAGATCCTGTCAGACATATGTTAAAACTTCGCTCAAGCTGCTGTAGCCAAGTTTCTAGGATTAACCATGTGCTCTGTTATGATGGATGGATTCTCCTGAAATAGACAGGACACTGCCAGCTTTCAGAGTTTTTTAAAATCTGGCTTAATTTAAATGGTTAGGTATTAACTTAAATCTGATTTTAGGACAGAAAAATGAATGTATATCTCTTTATATCTTTGTTTGGATTTTGATTCATTAGACTGTCTAACATTTCAGGTCCAAAGCCGATGATTTTACTTTTGACTTTGATATTGGGTCAGCTAATGACTTCTTTAGCTAACCTCAAATTCTAAGTCAAAAAGAAAATGTCTGATCTATCTCTGTGGATCCAAAGGAAAACTCTTTTCCCACAGTAATGATCAGGCTTTATTAACCATTCAAAACAGTATTTTACCTCAACTTGACTTGAAATGTGATAATATTAGAAACAGATAAGCAGTTGTAGAATTTGTTGAGTTCATTAGCAAGATTGAGTTAAACTGACCAGCATATTGTGCAGTATATTTATCCTGGCAAACAAAAGAATTCTGCATTAAAATCAGCAGAGTTGCAGGTTTGTTTCTGTAGAACAGGCTGTTTGTTTGCTTTTTTTCTGATTTTCATCTTCAAAAACTTGTAACAACAGATGGCCTGTTGAGCCAACAACAGATCATGTCTCACCACAGTGAGATCTCTTTCTGGCTAGATTGGTGCAGCTAGATATCAGTCCTCATCATATATATTTAAACTAACTTCATCTTAATTACTTCTTTTCATCTGGCCCCTGGTAGTACAAAAAGAAATTCTATCTCCTTGCATAGCATCAGAAATGCACATAAATAAACAATCTAGTGCAATTCTTTTAAACCCATTGAATTCCATATCTGGTGGCTGACATATCCCACAATTTCTGTGGGCAACTGAATATTCATGCTAATTATGGTGAAGAATTTAATAATTAGTTGTTTCTACTTTTACATTGTGCTCTCTGATTTTTATCTCCACAGAGGTCTCAGTCTGCATTCTCCCTGGCGAGTGAAGATATGCCCAGTAAAGGTCTAGACCCTGCGTCTTCTGTGACTGAGGCTCTTTGGCGGCAGCAAAAAGGACAGTTCAGGAAACAGAAGGAACGCAAGCTTTCTGCATTACCCAGCTGGAAAAGTGTGGACAGGCTAAACGAAACAAGTAAATATTTCTAGTACGAATTTTATTCTTTTTTGGTTCTCACTCATTGTGGG